AAAAAAAAAAAAAAAAAGAAGAAATGTTTGCTGCTGCTCTTGCAGTTCCATCTCTCATGTCATTAATCTTTAATTCAGCAGTACTGTTCTCTTCAACTTTGTCTGACACCGAAACAAATAATCTTGTGTTTTGTTTTTCTTCTGAAATACGGCTTCACTTGTAGGTTCATCTTCATCCCAAGAGACAGAGTCATAAATTCAATCCATTGTCACTTCCTAAAGATCTGCCCGACTGGGATTGGCGACACGGTTGCATCCCATACCAGAAGATGGAGTTGTTTGCTGTGCTCTGCATAGAAACCAGCCACTACGTCGCATTTGTGAAATACGGGCGGGATGACTCCGCCTGGCTCTTCTTTGACAGCATGGCTGATCGGGATGGTAGATCATTTATTCTCTTACTAATTTGCACGTAGTTTTACCTGTTTTATTATTTTAAACTTTGTCTACTTTTTAAAACTAATTTGGGGTTATTAACATCACTTAAGCATTGGATGTAGGGACACTAATCTGACCCAGTCTTTCCTCAGTATGTTGATCCCGTAGGAGCCCCTAATTTACATGGTCTGAATTTCCCCTAGATTAGATGCCTCGGTAACTGCACAAGTAACTGCAGTAAAGAATGCACTACTCTGTGCATCCTTCCATTCCTTACAACTTTGGCAGAGATTTTTAAATACAGAGCTGCAGGAACCTACTTTCAGTATATACTTTAGTGGACGTGCACAATTATGACATAGCATGCGAGTTTTTTCTATAGCTTTGCTTAAATGATCTGTTGAAATAAAAGAAAAATAACAAAATCAAGGCCACTCCTTTTGAATCTGTAGAGTTAGCAGTGGAAAATTGTTGCACTATAATAGGACTGTCAGTAAATCAAGTGTTCTGTTAGATACTGTTGCATTAAACAGTTGAAATAAGGACACTCTTCAATTCTAGTGCCTGAGAAAAACAGTAATAGATCCAGTTGTCACTCACAGTAGGAGTTGGTTGCATGGGAATTCTTCAGCTCCTCTGTGGTGTGATTTCTTTAGGGTATGGAGAAGAATCTTGCTTTGTGCTGCTGAGGCTGAAACTACCGCAGGACGAATGTCTCTGCCATCTCCCTATAGCTACCAAGCTTGTTTTGAAATGCTTGAAATATGTATGACTTAAGTCTAAGCTATTAGGTTTTTTTTTAAGAGTGTAGATCACATGAGGAGCATGGTGGATATATGTCCTTCTGATCTTAGTTTTTTTGTCACAGAATTTTCTTCAGCTTGATGAGATACTATAGGCTAAAAATATAAGCTATATACCATAAGCTGTTGGGAACAGTATAATGGATATCCATCCTTCTGTTTGAATTTGCACTTTTTATATGGAAAATGCAATTTTTATGGCCTATAATAGTAATCATCTGCTACCAATTGTCACTTCCTTAAAAAGTTTATTATTTGAGGTGGACTGTGTATTCAGGTCACTCTCCCAAAGTTGTACTTTAGTGTTAAGAGTTTTTATTCTGTTGGACTTCTGTTTTTTTTAACTAGTAGAATATGCAAACTGGTAGAGAAAACCTTCTGTGTAAGAGGCTAAATATCTTCCATGGTTTTTCTTACACGGTTGGATATTTCAGAGATATGAGGTTTCATTAGAAAAACAATTATGCTTTGGTATGTTACTTTGCTAAACTTTGAAGTCTTTGTGCCATTTAGAACAAACGCATCATGAGGTAATTATTTGAAGGTTAAGTCCATCAGACTTAACTGGCTTGAGGTTTTTTAGATACTTTAAGATATTCTGA